AATGGTGGACTGGTACAGGCCATCCTTTGAAAGAGAGGTTGGTCATGTATGGAAGAGGGGCTCCTCCTTGTGATGGCAGGAAGGAGAATTATTTGTAAATCTGTAGAATGTGGAAGCCATAATGTTTTTATGGTAGGAGCATGTGCCAGAGTCTAGCAGACATTTGCTATATCTGCCCTGGAGAATGGGACCAGGAGAATGAGGAATGAAGCATTTAGTGTCTATTTGCTGATGGAAACAAAGAATCCATAGGGGTTCCTGCCTTCTAAGTGATGGGATTTCTCCAGCACTCCTTAGCAGCATAGGTATAGATCCAAAGTTGGACAGTGAAATTTTGCCATGTGGATGAGATGGAAGCTCAGGTTTCTGGAAAGAGTTAGTTGAGACATGCTGGATATAAGCAAGTTCTTGCAGGCAAGCAAGGTGGATTCTTGGCTCCCAGTATTATTCAGGCAACTCTAAGGTTGAACCCCAGAGGTGCTTTATCACTGAGTCACACCCCCAGTACTTTTTGTGAGATGGGGCTCACCAAGTTGTTTAGGGCCTCATTAAGTTATTGAGGTTGGCCTCTAAATTGTGATCCTCCTGCCTCAGCCTCCTGAGTTGCTGGGATTTATAGGTGTGCATCACTGTACCCAGAAGTAAGTAATTTCTATGTTCCTTAAACTTGTGTTAGTTATTTCTTCCCTTTCTCATTTCAAAAACTATTTCAGATGTTCATATTAGCACATACTATTCATCAGATACTAAGAGTTTCAGAAATATATTGTTCCCTGCCTATTATGCCTTTTCCATGTTCCCTTTTATTCAAATAAAATCTAGACCAAATTTCTCTTCCTTCCTGAAAATTCTTCAATCTGTCAGCCATCATTTATTCTCTTTGGAATTCTATTAGTACTTATGCTCTGAATCACATATTTTGCTATATTACTATATTTTTTCTAGCTTACCGTGTCTTTTCAAATGAACTGTAAGTGCTTTGGGGATGAGGAAGTTAGGATGTGAATTTTAAATGTCTTCTAATATCTCCCAAGACACTATGGACATAATAAGACCTCAGTGACAGGAATTCCACTTTGACAGTCATGCCCCTCTATAGCAGAGTGGTTCTTGATGATGCACTATAACTAGGACTAATAATGAACTCTGAGTTTCTCAGGAACATTCATTGGACCATGAACAGTTTAAATTACAAGGTCAGCTACAAGAAAGACAGAAGATAAAATTTGAAGAGCAATAAAGTAGCAATTTACATTTGTTCTCACCAGACTATAGGAATACATTATTACAAACACATTGACAAGTTAATATTGAAGCTTTGTTGAAAGTTGAATGTTACACAGATACACTTTATTGTACCTATTTTAGGGTTTTATTGTACAATTCTAGGTTTCTAGGAAGTACATTGGGGTTATGCAAGTTCCACCCTTGGGAGAACCAACTTCTGAGCTAGACAGTTGTCAGAATATAAAGTTTAACACTAGAACTCTTCTCCAAAACAGGTACCAAGTAACCTAGTTCAAGGTGGTAAGAAATAAATGCTATAGATTTGTCATTTGTCTATTACTCCATGGGTAGGAGAGCAAGTGGGAAGAAAAGGGGAACATCTGGAAGTTCTAAATGGGGCTTTTAAAATGCCAATATAAAAAAATAAAGGAGACTGGTTTGCAACATAGTTTCCCTTGATCATATTTACTTTTTTTCATTGCCCATCTGATGTTTGATGGTTCTTATACTGTAATATCTCTAACCTTTTCTTTTTCTGGACACAGTTGTCTTCCTCCATAAGTTTATACTCTTCATATTCATTTTATGTTTACTTCATCTTTATAATCTCCTTCATCTCCATTCTGGAACTTTAAACATTTTTTTAAATAAAACTTTTGTTTTAACTAAAAGTTTAACTTGTAATGAGAAAACATCTTCCTGTTTTTTTAGGAGGGAGTCATGAGGAACTACATTTTTTGTCTAGGCTTAATGACTCATGAAATTTTGTAAAGTACAGGGGAAGGCAGGGAACAATTAAGGGGGACTAGATGGCTTAGAGAAGTGTGAAGCTCAAGGATAGCAGGACTGGTCCCAAGATTGCAGGCCTGTGCTTGATCACCTGCCCTATGTCTCTCTTATTCTCTGGCTCACAATCCATCCTGGATTGCCAACCTTAGACTSTAGGAGGACAGAGTGCTTGCTATCCTCCTTGTTGATCTACTGCTTTCAACACTTACTGAGCAATTACTTTGATTTAGACAATTACTTTGAACATTCATGTAGCAATAACTTTGATGGGTATAATAGTAAGATACTTTACACAGTCTTATTTAACTCTTCTGAATCTGAGGGAGATGTTTATATTAGTCCCATTGTCGGGATGAAGAAACTGAGATTCAAAAAGTTAGAGTACCCTGGCCATAGACACAGGGCCAGTATAGGTAGGGTAAGGGGGGTGAAATATAGGCCTAAAGGAACCTTAAACAAAACAAAACAACAACAGCAACAAAAAACAGAAATAAAAAAAACCAAAAAATTAACACCCTTTGCTACCCCTTTCTGGGATTGTCCACATGGGTGCCAAGTACAGAAGTGGAAGTGATAAAAACTTAGTGTATCTTTTATAAGTGGTCCTTTTTCAATGCAATTGAATAAACTTTATAGCCAGCCTCTGGGCTTGGCTCTGAGGAACAAGATGAAGAGGAAAGATTGTGCATATTCCAGAAATTTAAGACCATGGGCAGAAGAGAGCTAGCGCTAAGTAACTTTCAGGTTTATGATCATTTGATTATGTTATCTCCTGCATTTATGCATTAATTTATTCATTCAGCAGCATTTTCTCTCATAAAATTGTACCAGTTAAAGGGAAGCAGTTCCTAAATCCATTCATAGGAGAGTGACAAGCAATCCAATATTGTAGATCAAATGTTAAACCCTTTTGTTCATGTGTCTTTCTAAAGTCAAGCACCAAATTATTATATTTAATAGACATCGAATTATTATTTTTTAACCTGGTGGCCAATAAATTCAGCATTAATCTGAGAGAGAACATTGAATTCATTTGACACACTGTTTCAGAATCCATGCCTTCTGCATTTCACTTTTATCTTTTAAAAACCAGCATTTATCTAAACATCAAAATTCGCAAAATATACAAAGCATGAGGAATTATCAATTAGCATGGGGAAATTCTTTCCATTTACAAAAGAACCCAATGCCCTTTTAAAAAGTGTAACAGTGAATGAACACTAATATTAATAAAATAATCGGTATGAAAGAAATACAGGGTGAGAACTTATAGACAAGTGAAATACCTGGAATAACAATGGAGATAAAGTGAAACGGTGTGACTAGATCTACAAAATGTCTTTTATGGTTTTTTGGTACCAGGCATTGAACTCAGGGGTGTTTAACCACTGAGCAACATCCTCAGCTCCCAACACCCTTTTATTTCCAGATAGGGCCTAAATTGCTGGGGCTGGCTATGAACTTGAGATTCTCCTGTCTTAGTTTCCTGAGCCTCTGGGATTACAGACATGGGCCAAGGCATCGGGCCTATAGGTTTTTTTTTTTTTTTTTTTTTTAATATTTTATAGTTTTAGGCAGACACAATATCTTTATTTTACTTTTATGTGGTGCTGAGGATCCAACCCAGTGCCCGGTCCATGTTTTAAAGACTACTTTTTGGAACAACACCCGTGAGCATAGCAAGGAAAAGTTTCTCTACTTTGTAATATGTGAGGCTTTGGGTCTTTGTACAAATAATGGTGGGACGGAGGGTCAACTGGAATCTGCCAGGTTTTCTGCATTTTCCTGGTCTTCATTTACTCATGCATTCTCTTGCTATGAAAATGAAAAACCGTTTTCGAGTAAAGTCTCCCATCTTATCAATACATAAACATTTTCTGGTTTCTTTCTATCAAAAAAGACAAGGTGGGCTGGGGTTGTGGCTCAGTGGTAGTGCGCTTGCCTAGCACGTGCTAGGCCTTGGTTTAGATCCTCAGCACTGCATGAAAGTAATAAATAAAAGTATTGTGTCCACCTACAACTAAAAAAAAAAAAAAAAAAAAAAGGACAAAGTTACCGCTGATGAAACTAACAACTTAACTTGCCGATAATCATTCCTGCTTGGCACTTATTCCATTTTATGACTTCAGCTTGGAGCTTCTTTCCTAGTTTTCAGTTTACACTCAACCCCTAGGGACTCCCCACAAGATACTTTGTTTCTCCTAAAAATCGGATCGTGAACGTTTCTGCGCGTCCGAGAAGAGGAAGTTGCACTTGGTAGCATTCTGAGTAGCCAGACCATACTTAGTGGAGTAAATGGAGATGGTGGCTTGATTTTTATCTACAAGCCAAAGCTAGCTGAGGAAACTCCCAGATCGCACGCACAGCGCCCCTCCGTGGCCGTTTCGGGAGGCTTTCCCGATGTCCGGCCACGGGCGTCCGGCCCGCCCCGCCCCGCTGCCTTCGCGCCGCTTCGGACGCATGAGCTCCGCGGGGCTCCATGACAGCCTTCATCCGCTCCAAAACTTCGACCAGCAACCCCGCTTACAGAAGGCTCTTCCTTCTTCCCCGCCTCTCCCAGAAGGGCGGAGCGATAGTTTCCGGAAGGCCGTCCGTGCCCCAGCCGAAGACGGGCCCGGAGAGGGCCGGGAGGAGGGCGGGGGTCGCCAGGCGGCCGCAGGATCAGGCCCCGCCCGCGCCGGAAGTCTGCGCGTGCGCGCTGGCCAGCTGGAACGCGCGTCCGGCGCGGAGGGGCGGTGGGGGCGGGGCCGCGCTGCTCGCAGGGTGTCCCCGCCCCCGCCCCCCGGCGTTCCGCGGTCGCCGTGACAACCGGAGCGGCGGCCACGGCGGCAGGCGCCCGAATCCGGCGCCGCCTCCTGGCCGTACAGCCAAGCAGGCAGCCGCCGCCCGGCCTTCGTGCTCTCCCCGCCTCCCAGCCCGCGGGGAGGGACCAGCCCGCCCTCCGCCCGCCCGCCCGCCAGCCAGAGAGTGAGCGGCGCCGGCCGCCCAGCCAGCCCGCGGTTCCCCAGCCGCCGTCCGGGCGCGCGCAGCGAGCGAGCGCGACTATGCCAAGATGGTCCTGCAGGCGCGGAATAAGCACCGGGAGGCGGCTCCCAAGCCGCCCCAGCCGCCCCGCGCCTCTCAGTCGCCGCTAAGAGGGGCTCCGGACGTCGGCGCCGGGGAGCCGGGACCCGAGCGCGCGTCCCCGTCCCCAGGGCGCAAGGGCKCTGCGGGCAGGAAGGGGCCCCGCGCGGAGCCCGGCGTGTCGCCCGCGGGGGTCGGCCTGGGGGGGCGCCTGGTGGCCGGGCTGCGCGGGGCGCTGGGCCTGCGGCGCGCGGGGCGCGGCCGGACCTGGACCACGCTTCTGCTAGGTGAGCAGCCCCAAGCGCGCGAGCGCTGGCGGGACGCGGAACTTTGAGGCATGGCTCGTCTCTTTCCTTTCCTCTCCTTTCCTTGTCTCCCTTCTTGTCCCTTTCCTCTTGCTTCCGCCGCCCGATCTGGTCGGATGGTCCCCGCCAGTTTGCAGCTTTCTCTGACTTCTTTCCTGGGACGTTCCTACCTCCTCCTCTCCTGTTCCCAGAGCTTAGCTCTCAGAGCACCATTCCCACCGCTGTCTGTCTAAGCTTTAAAAAAAAAAAAAATGGCCCCAGATCAACAGCTGCCCGGCCTGTCCGCAAATGGACAGGTCTGCGCTAACTAGACTAAAGCGTTGCTGATTGGTGCCTTCCCGTTATTTGGCCCCTGACCGCGAGGATGGTTTGCTTTTGGTGGGAGCGATTCAGTGGAGATTGAAGCAAACGCACGATGCCTGTCCTAGAAAGTTGCCAAACTTATAATTAATTTTAGCGTGCTGTTTTCTTCTTGGCCGCAAACACCGCTGGTGGCACTTTATTTGTGATTCCCCTGTACACGTCACTTTCCAGGTTGTATTGTCTTTTGGATGCCAGAGCCTTAACCTTCCCTGGTGGTTTGGGGACGTTTGGTGAAGAGAGCCTTTCTCCCATCCCTTTACCATACACCAAATGGATGATGTGTGATGTGATGAAAAGAAAGTTGAAACATTTCGTGTATTGTGGACTGACTTCAGGTTTCCTTTGTTCCCTGATTGACATTACAAAAAGGCAAGTTATAGCAGTTTGGAAATAGGCCTAATTTTTCTAAGTCAACCAGTGAAATGCAGTAACACTGCCCTTTCCCTATATTGCCGTAATGGATTTTGGCTATTGAATTATTTAATTACTGGTGATTTATTCCTTGTTATCTTTTAAAATTCCTTTCGTGACCGAAAGTTCCCTTAGCCAAGAGTTTGCGATTCCGTAAGAAATAGAACACAGCAAAATCGGCTTCCAGTGAGATCACAGGCATCATTAAGAAACCAGTCAATCATAAAAAGCCAGTCATCATCACTATGTGCGTTTTAATGGGCTCAGGGAGGTTGGTATTGTTATTAGGGTACTTTTTTTAAGTTGTAGATTTAAGACTAGAAAAATTCAATATCAACCCTCCCCCCTTATATTTTTTCCTCAGAAGCGAGCTTGAAAACCTGGCCAATGTGCAGGTTAAGTTCACCTTGGGGAGGCAGCATGATACAGAGGATGAGGCAGACCTTCAGAGCCAGTGCACATCAGTTCAGTTTGGTTTAAGTCTCAAGTTACTTCCTTTGCAAGCCTTTCTTTCTTTGTTCTGTGGAATTATCACATGCCCTACTTACTCCACAGGGATGTCTTGAGGAGCAAAACTAAAAGGGGTGGGTGAGGCTTGGGAAAGTACTTTGTTTCTAAAGCATTTAACAAATTTTAGTTCCTATTGTAAAAGCAACCGCATAATACTGTTTGGAGATCTTAGGGCAGAATAAACTTGCACTTTTCTTGAAAGGCTAGTATAAACTAGCCACTTTGTAGTAAAATATGGAATGGCATTGGTTCTTCAGGAAGTGGCAATGAGGGAAAAAAACCCTGGAATAATTATATAATTCCTATTGTTATTATCTGCATATCTTCTTTTCTTGTATTTGAGTCTTCTTATATTGATTGGCTTGTATTTGAATTTAGTTATGTTCATACTGAAATATAATTATCAATGTAATAGTGTGGCACTTTGCTTGACTTTCCCTTTGGGCATTGGAAGGCGGTACAGTAAAGTGGGAGATCATATTCATGGGTATTATCTTGGTCCATGGTCATCAGATGTATGGAGATTGGATGAACAAACTGTGGTCTAGAGATTGTCTCATAGACTGATTTTATACCTAATCCTTCCCTACCATCATGCCTTGCCCAAGCATCAGAAAGCATCTCAGATTCTGCAGAGAGGAACAGTTTAGACATTTTTGAAAATTGCCTCAGCTCTTTTTTTCTTTTCCCTCCCAGAATGAGTGTTGAGCTGACACTGAATAGTATTTGAAAATGAAACTTTTAAAATAGCTCTTTGGCCTTCTTTATTGAGAGGCATTGCAGGTTCTTTGGTTCTTTGAGAGTTAATTTGAAGGTGATCAAGTAAACAATTAAATATTAAGCTGTGATAAAAAATGGATTCATTTCTCTTTAGAAAGAGAAAAGGAAGCTCCATGAAAGAAGGATGGATTTTTAAGAGTTAGAAGGTGGCTAAGGCTCTTTCCCACATGTGCTAGGCACTGGTAAGCCTTACTAAGGTGGCCCTTTCCATTGTTGGGCAATGTTAAGCATTGTTTAAAATTATGTTTTAATATATTTTTTATTTGACAATTATTTACTAGCTTTTTAATGATAACAGTTGTAAAGAGGGGTTCTCAAAATGTTTATATTTAGTTTTTAACCTAATAGCTTCCTGTTATCAGCCAAAGAAGGCAGTGATGTAGAAAGAACATTGACAATATTTCCCAGAATTTTTCAACTACAGCCCACAGTAAATAATACAGTTAAGTTAAACTTGTTTACACCTCTGAAAATGCAACCCAGTAAGTAAATAGATATTTGTGACTATTAATCTATTTATGTATATCAGTGGTCTAGCTGGAAACACTTAATGAACTATTTTTAGAGTATGAGCAGATTTGAGACCAGTAGGGTAGATTAAGGAGATGGGAGTGGGATTAGGGGAGGAAAAGGGGAGGTACTGGGGAATGAAATTGATCAAATAATGTTATATGCATGTACAAATGTGCAGTGAATCCCACTATGATGTATAATCATGAAGTACCAATTTAAAAAAAGAGAAGAAGTTTGAGCAGGTTTAGGACACCATAAAGGCACCATTAAGGCACCCAGGGACTGTCAACCATGGGAACATGGGATCAACTTCCAACCTGAAGGGGAAGTGGGTCTCCATCAGGAGCTATACCCAGTGAAAGCTGTGTTGTGGGAGCAAGGTCACCAAGAAGCGCTATTCAAACACTCTGCTTCCACACTATGGTCTCCCACTAGTGCTGTTTATTGGCAGAACCAACCAACATTACTGAAACACTCTATATAGTGTGAGCTTCCTGGGGCTGGGAACAAAGCAGAGAAGGAAAGAGAATGGAGACTAACCAGCAATGTGCACATATTAAAAACACAAATTCTGTGTAACAATGTTGATTCTATAATGTGCAGTATACCCTGATTTTCTATTTTAAAAAATGCTGTTTATGAACCAGTAAGTTGATTTCACGATCCAGTGTTATGACCCATGGTTTGAAACAATGCCTTTCTAGAACATTTATTTATTTTCTGATTCTATGCCTGTTTAAACTTCTTGGGTGTCTGAGCAAAGTTTAGCTTTTCTGAGCTTTGGTTTTTGCACAGGTAAAATGGGAGACCTGCACTAGAGCAGTGATTTTCAATCTTAGCTGTATACTAAAGTAACCTGGAAACTTTAAAATACCCTGATGATCAAGCCGCACACATAAAACCACTTAAAGCTGAATATGGAGGTTGGGATGTGATGGTGGACAGAAACATCAGTGGTTTTTAAAGTTTAATGTCTTGCCTGTCCTGAGCGTCACTGAACTAGTGTTCTTACATGGCAGCAATCTGGTAGAACTACATAAATCCACATTCTTCTTTACATGGGGACATGGATAGTCCAGTTGCCATAGCTTTCTCTGATCTCTATTATTTTCCCTAAACTGTGGCTGTCAGTTGCCATTTGTTATCTGACATGTCTATATATTTCTTGTACCCTCATCCCTTATTAGAAGAAGGAAGAGGGAGGGATAGCTAGAGAAGGCTCCAGGTTTCAGGAGGGGAAGTGAAAAATGTAGAAGTTAAACATGCACATGGAGCATGTCTGTGGTGAGGGACTAAAATAAAATGCCATTTGTAAAACACACATAATAAAGGTAACCCGAGTATGGAAAAGAGAGATGATAAAAGCTGTGTTTCCCCCTCATATCTGTCCTGTTTGATTCATTCACATTACTTGCTTGGTTCCTGTGGTCAGGAGCAACTGCACCTCTGCTCTAACCTAGTTCTTATTGTCAGGACTTTACAACCTCTGCAGTTTTACCTTTTTGGTGGAATTTCTTACTATGAGAGGCTGTCCTATACATGGCAGGATATTTAGACATCTCTGGCTTCTGCCTACTAAGTGCCATTAGTATCTTCCTCGTGACAAGCAAAATGCCTCCCAACTATTGACAAATATACCCCAGGAGGCAAAATGAACATTTAGAATCTCTGATTTTATTATTTACAACTTTTGAGAGCACCGTGCCTTCTTAGGAGCTCGAGAGGAAAGAAACTGGATGGAGGTAGAGAGTTGGGTCAAGGTATTGGGAACTGGGATGTGTGGTATGATGAAAGAAGCATAGGCATTTCAATACTGACCTGCATTTGAATCCTGTTTCTATACACAGAAGGTGCATCTATACTCCCTTAATATTTCTCATTCTTAATTACCTCTTCTTTAAAATGGGATATAAAAGTTTTGTCTGGTTATAGTAAAGAATATAATATATACTGGACATATGTAACTTGCTTTTGATTTTTACAGGGGCTCACACTTAGAGTTTGCCTTGAGTCTCAGTGATGACTTTGGATTTGGACTCTTGGGCAATCTTGAAACTGTTGAGACTATGGGGACTCTTGAAAATGGACTTAATGTATTTTGCATTGTGAGATGAGCATTAGCTTTTGGGGGCTGGGGTGGAATGTTATGGCTTAGATATTAGGTGTCCCCCAAAAGTTCATGTGTGAGAATAGTGCAAGAACATTCAGGGGTGAAATGATTGGGTTATGAGAGCCTTACCCCAATTAGTGAATTAATCCCTGGATAGGGATTGACAGAGTGGTAACTGAAAGCAGGTAGCCTGTGGCTGGTAGACAGGGTGGGACAGTGGGCAGTGAGAACATGCTTTTGGGTGTATCTTTTGTATCAGGCAGTGGAGTCTCTCTCTGCTTCCTGATCATCATGT